TTGCTGTATCGACGATGAATTGGGACGTTGTCTATTTTTCATTTACATGTGTATGGTTTACAAGCACTAAAAACCATAAATGTTAGCATTGTTTATTTGACATTATCGATCAATGTTAGAGGTGTATGTTGATTAAATAAATATTGTACAGTCAAACTCTAACGGTAAATTGAAATTGTTTTTTTTTAGGAAAATGATTTATTGATTTCAATTAACATGTTTTATATTATATAACACAGAGAAGAATAGGAATCGCGAAACATTTTATACACTATGTCGATCTGACCAAACGTAAGACAAATTATGTGTGATCACATAGAGCTGTGAGAATGATTATTCTATTTATTCGCGCCGCAACCTAATAACAATACGATTATTATCCCCTCGCAAAGACAGTTCGAGGAGATATAGGATTCCGCCCGTACGGACCTACGTATGTATGTATGCTATATGTATGTTACACTTATTGTTATCGCTCTAGCGACATTATTTCTGAACGGAATTTCATTAAACTTCATACAAGTGTTTGGTATGACAATACCTTGAATACTTTAGCACTTCAGGTTTCCGTTGAAGGTCAGGGTCACTGTTATTATTGTTAGAAAAACATTGTCATCGCTCTAGCGACTTTATTCCAGAACGTAATTTTATGAAACGTTATACGTGTTTGGTATGTCAATGTTTTGAACGAGTTTCCGTTTAGGGTTTCTACGTTGAAGGTCAAGGTCACTGTTACTATTTTTAGAAAACTCTTTGTCATCACTCTATCGACTTCATTACTGAACGGAATTTCATTAACCTTAATACTAGTGTTTAATATGGTAATACCTTGAATAAATTTGCTGTACCGCGTTGAAGGTCAAGGTCACTGTTACGACTTTACGGGAAAAAAATTTGTCATCACTCTCTCGACTTCATTACTGAACGGTATTTCATGAATCTTCATAAAGTGTTTGGTACGACAATGCCTGAAACTAGTATTAGGTATGTAAATGCCTTGAACAATGTTTCGTTTCGGGTTTCTACGTTTAAGGTCAAGGTCACTGTTACTAATTTTAGCAAAACAAAACTTTGTCAGCGACTTTATTCCCTCTTACATATGTCACCATGTGTGAATGCGAGGGGATTTGTATTACTTGTGATGCCTTGCATTATCTTCGTATTATACCTTCTGAATTATTTATATTTGACGTTTTAATCCCAAAATGCAATTACCGTTAGGCTTTAATCTGTGAAGCATAAGTTGTGACCATATACTTAATACTGTGTCAATGTAACGCCACGTTTTATAGAAAAACACGTCATTCAAAAATAATTTCACCATAACACTTTTTATTGAGTCATTGACAATAGGTCAGTGTTTTTTAAGTTTGTTAGCCTTGGTCTCAAAACATTAAGAAGAAATCTAGAGGATTCATACTATTTCAACATTGGGATTTTGTACAATAGAAAAGGATTAATGAAATATGTTACCTGTAACTGAGCAAGATCGGGTTATCTCAGTCGAGGGTTAGGATTCTGTAACAAAATCCCAACCGAGTTGTATGCCGAGCCCGAGACTGATATAATCCGATCTTGCTCAAAAACAGGTAATTTCTCGCACATTTTTTAGTTCGAAAAAGAACTATTCAATTTTGCTAAAATGCCAAGTATCCCGTCTGGGGCCTCAAATGATAATAACCTCTTCACTACTTAAGCTACATTTGAATGCTTCTGCATAAACATGTAGACCGTCCTTACATAGATGATAACGTATTTTGCAGTGTAGATTATATTTTATCTACAACATCAAATATCCAACAACATCAAAACTATACATATAACGACAAAACAGAACATTTACAATGCAAATTGTCAATTTAAAGCAGTTATCGCGCGGATGAATACATCGCAGTGTAAAAATTCCGCGAAATGTCACGAAAAGGTACAAGACAGATCGGACGAGATATAAAAATCTAGCATGGGATATGACGTGAGATATCTCTATCTGTGGTGCGAGAAATTGTTTTCTGACTCTGAAGGAATGGGGATTCAAATCAGCAGGAGAAATGTCAAACTCCAAGACAGTAGATGGAACTGTTCTCTGCAGCAGTCGCAAACTGAAATGTTATATTAGTAATATATTGATGGCAGAGGCTTAATAAGAAAATAGCGTATCTTCTCACTGTTGAAATTAAGAGTTACAACGTTATATGTTTATATTTAGATGTTCATATAGTGAGTTTTCCATTTCTTGATAGTAACATCATTTACCCGATCCTACAGTGTTAACCAGTAACAACTAACTCGGTATCAAAGGGCTTGCTCCTTAAATCTTGATTTCCATTATATCGATAGATGTTAACTTTTATTGTTTCCATCCTCGTCTCAATGAGAAATAAACATTTTCCATATTTGATTTGCTTGTCTTGGTATTTTGTTGTCATTTTCCCGGTTTTTGATATTCGAGGCGTGACATTACCACCCTCATGAGATCTTTATTGATTTATATTTTTATAGTAGATTTTGTCGATGAAGCAGAAGAGCTAAGTGTTCTGGAAGACCTGGTCTTACTTTCCGTGTGTTCATAAAAGGCCTATGTAAATCTTTCATTACTTAATATTTTGACCTAATTTTATCGACTTTTAGATTGGAATAGGGTTTATATATAAATTACGATTTTTTAAATGTCTTCAACATTTAAATATCCATGTCCTACTGCAGGCAAAACACTAGAAACGTTCATTGTAGTTTTACATACGTACAGTTACCCCCTTTTATTTATTAATAACTGAAGCGAAACTGTGCCGGTCAGGTATGTTTATCTGGTTAGACAGACCATAATGCGACCGTAGGTCCGGTCAGGTAGGTTTATCTGGTTAGACAAACCATAATGTGATCGTAGGTCAATGGTTCGAATCCCGGTCTGGAACCATTGCATTTTCACTCTCAAAATATTTTTGTGGAATATTGTACAGTGTAATTCCATAAATTTATGCTACATTTTTCATATAAAATAGCACAGAATGAAAGATTATTAAAGTTAAAATCATGTCAGTTAGATAACTTTCAGATTCATTTCGTTGCTTGTGGGTTTCAAATCCATTCGTACGTGATTATTTGTGCGAATCTGTTGCTATGGTCGTATATGGTAAATATAACTTTGATTATTTANAGTATTACATCATGAAAATTGGTTTTACTTCAAAAACCTCAATTTGCTTCATGCTTGTACATGTTTCCATCATAACATGATTCAATTATATTTTAGTTTAAAAAAATATTTTTTTTTATTGAAGTCTCGTTCCCTATGAAAACAGCTTATGGGACTGAAGTCTCACTGAAGTGGTACTTGAATTTTCATTAGAAGATTTTTTCACAATTAGTAGCATAATTTAATCATGAAAACTCATAACAAGCAAGGAAATTACTTGACAGGTGCGGGGAAGTGTTATCGTGTTATACTGTAAATATGTATACAATTAATACTGCTATTACATTGGGTCACACTATCCTAACCCTGCCTTACTCACATCGATAAGGTATATTGCATATTTGACATGTACGAAAAAGCCAAAGGAACAATGAACTATTTGTAAGCTTAATTACTGGAATATACTCATAAGTTAAAAACATATTTCAAATAGGTGACATCTGCTTTACACAAGCGAACAATTGACATATTTACACGAAGACCATTTCATAAATTATGTCACAAGTGTCAGGAATTACATGGATATTGTATATAGTTTGATCTTTCTATTACGATCCTTCGAAATATCCCCCCTCAAAAGAAGAAACACAGGGACTTCGATCTGGTGAATAGCGTGGGTCGTCAATCTCTACTACATTTTCTTGCTTCAAAAACGCCTGTAAAACATTGCTTTTATTAGATAAAGCATTGTCGTAAATTAGCTGGATGCCATTCAACCCTATATTATGAAATACTTAAGTAATTTGTCTCTGTAAAAGTTGGCAGTGATAATTTTCCCTTCCTTGAACGGTATCTAAACAACAGGCCCAGTAAATTTGTTCATCCACCTGAAAACATTTTTCAATGTGACGGCAGAGGTGCGTTTTGTGCTGCATAACTGTTCCTGTATCATTTTTTGGTGGTTATTGGAGCGTATTTCAGATTTAGTCTCAACCGTCATTTTTGCATTGAAACGTAGCCACTAGTCACGAGTGCTTCCCATTCAACAATGAATAACTTGTGGTAATCATTGAAAACGCCCTTGTCAGCATATCTAATGTTAGGTGGCACATCTATAGTCCTGAAACTAAATGGTGTGTTATGTTCCTTTTGGTATACCCTCGTTTAGCTTAATGTATATTTGTTAAGAAGCGCGAAACACATCATCTATCAAAAAGAACTAAATTTCAATGCGCCACGTATTACAACAGTTGAAAAGTGCCTGTACGTTTAATTTCCTTGTAATTATAGGATCCAAATTGATGCGAAAGACGGAAATAGTCATAGGATTTGTATGGGTGTATGACGGTATGTATAATTAATAGACAGGTTAGGTAGAAGCAAGGTGTACGAGAGTCATGAAGAGCAGGAGGACGTACACATGTTTATCAGTTTGAATTGAGTGGTGTGTCATTCTAACCAGAGACAGTGCAGACTACGGTCTTGTTATGTTTTGTCTGTAACACATACAAAATCAAAATATTTAAATCAGAAAGAGAGTTTGATATAACAATCAAAAGTAAGGCAGTTCTTTTTTTAAACAAAAAACAAGTCAATACCTCATAATGTTTTCCAGAGGTCTTAGTGACTTTTGATAGAGGCTCTCGCTGCGCTGGCTTTTCAACCCTGAATGTCAGGAGAGTGGAGTTGACAACATACTATACTGTCAAAGTACTTTACATTCAAAAGTAGAAGGAATATCATTTGTCCACAGATTGATGTATACAATAAATGTCAACATCTCGGAACAGACTAACGACATGTAAGTGTTGTTATTTAATTGGTTCGGGGAATTACTAGGGATGAATAGAGCAGACGGCAAACTTACCGACGTTGTGAGCTCAGTTTGCGTCGTAGTAAGCGACGGTGTAGTCGTCGTTTCCGGTGTAGTCGTTGTTTCCGGTGTAGTCGTCGTTTCCGGTGTGGTCGTCGTTTCCGGTGGGGTCGTTGTTTCTGGTGCGGTGGTCGTTTCTGGGCTAGCACCAACTCTTTCATATAATGAGTAGAAACCACCGACACTTCCTATTGGACAGGGAGAGGACGGAAAGCTCTTGTAGAAACAACACGCGACGTTTGTCGGTAACGACTTGTCCGATAAGAAGGACAAACATATAGTATTATTCTCCAGACATCTTGAAGCACACCTGATTAGGGAAGCAGCTCCGATAACTCCATATGGGGCATTTGACAGGGACATATTGCACTGCCATTTCAACACGAAAGTAGAATCCCTGATGGTGATGGCCTGTCCGGCCACGTTGCTGATCATCCATGAGGCGAATAGGAATACCAGCATTTCAATGCCGCATAATATTCCCCTTTTGACAAGAAAATCAACAATTGTGAAAAAATAACTTAAATGTTGTTTAATAAGTCTTTTTCATCGAAGACATTGTTTACAATTGTGATGTGTAGTAATCCAAATAATATTGTTGTTTTCCACCTCCGAAGTCTTGGAAACCATAACAGTTAATAACATGCTTAAATCCTGGTTTCAGAAGTCTAGTATATATGTCCAAGTAATTTGACAAGAGGCAAATGAATAATTAACATTTCGGTTTAAATGTTTTCATTTTATTAACATTATCGAGTTTAACTGATCTTTTGGTCTGCTGCCTCCTGCCTGAAAACATGTCATTGAACTTAAGACTTAGTACGAGCGGAGTTGATGAAACAGTCTACTGGAGGTGACCTGACGTCGTTCCCACAACTGATGTACCTGGTCACGTGATACGTATCATACCCACACATGTCTGAGGTATCTGATTAATGCCGATCGATCATGGAAGCTGCATGAACATAATGGTGGATTTCATTGCAGTACGTTAGCTCCCCTAATAGTAAAGATTTATAGATAATTGTATTGACTTTGTCACCTTCACGTTCACACGTCGCTGTACCCGTTAATGGATGCTAGCGTAACTAACACATATCAGATATAATATAGAAATGAGCGAATAGTCACAAAGTGCTTCTCCTAATCAGTACAAATACTGTATGTTTTGTTGGAAACGTGTACTGATATTTATTGTGATTACAATCGCATTGATGAATCAATAATATCCACTTAGGAGATACGAGATATGTCGGACGATCATCATCTGCATTATTAACGAATTTTGTTGCGAAGAATTGTGTAGTTTCCATACATTATCGTAAAACTAACTCTAATTATCTCATATCTTTTATCGGATAAAATGGTATAAGAATCTGCCCCTGTTTTTCAAAGGAAAGAGTTAAAACAGCTATGATGTACTTTTATAACCAACTTATATGTTCCTTTCTAATGTGTTTTCTCTACAAAATTTCTTATTCATTTGAGTTCTTATCCCTTTCAGTTGTTATTAATAGTTTCTAGAAGAAACCCGGCAAATATTACATAATTTTAAATAAATGTATTAATAAACGTTTCAATTTGAACCTAGCTCAATATCTAATAAAAGTTTTACGACAAAATAATTTGTAAAAGTGTTCCACTACTTTTTTGAGAGTTTAGACTTGGTTTTAGACCTAAAGCAACATTAACAGAAAAATCCTTATAAATCTTTTTCAGAACATGGTTGACATCTTGATTCTGGTACTGTTGATGACAACCAATTATACGTATTGATTCACGTGTTCGACATGCACTAATAGAATGGTTTAAGGCTGTTGATACATGTGTAATGTGCAATCTTACCCAGCACACACGGATCTTCTGTTTTCCTACAATGGCTAAGGTATATAGTGATCCTGTCTGTCAACAAACGAACCAATTATATACACAGCGATAGTATCCATGGCACACTTCTCCAAGGAAATATTTACATAAATAGAAGTAGCTTAAAAAAAAAGAAGAATTATTTAGTGCAGTGTATTATATGTTCTTGTTCGGAGTTCAATATGGAGTATTTTTTCTGGGCTAGAATTCGCATATTCATAATTGATAATCTTACTTTTATACGTTGCATCAATTTATTCTAGATGACTTGACAAAAATCAATCAGAATTTCTAACGATGCAAACAAGATTTGTTCTTCTTTCTGGACATGTTTGAGAGTCAACTGACTTGATATGTTCAGTATTACTTCCAGAGTTATTTTTTGAACGACGATATGGAAAAAAAATCAAAAACAAAAATCAAAAACCAAAAACCAAATCTTTTACTTTCAAATTTGGTAGAAATATGGTTATTAAAACGATCATACATATCTAAGGTGTTCATGAGTGACTTTGTTGATGTAATGGATCTTCACTTACTTAAAGGTTCATAAAACCGTTTTAAAATGAATGGATATTGTCATTTAAATCAATGTGCGTATTCAAACGGTAACTGTTGATGATTTTTGTTTAGTGTTGTTGTTTTTTTTTGTTTTTTTTTTGTAAATTCAGTTGCGCACTGAATTCTTATGAGTGACTGTGTTACTAGAACTGCCTAAACAATAGGACAATTAGCCCTTGAAACCGAATTACTTTTAAGCAAATGTTTTGGTTCAATTATGAAATTATTATGTTTATAAAAGTATATATTTTTCACAAGACAATATGCAAGTTACACGATGTAATTTTTACTGCATTACTTATCCCCTGTTAAGCATGTCTACTTAATAATGTTTTTCGTTTTAACTTAAATGATAAAGATGTAATAATAGGTCTGATTGGAGTTGTTAACATCTACAGTATATTGTTTAGTTACATTCTCCCTCATAACGTTTTCATTGAACGACTGTTTATGTAAGAGTAGACAAACATAAGGTTATAATGAGTAGGAGCACCTGAGGGATATATGATATATAATACCTCTTATCACAGACTACATATGTTTCATAACGACTTGGAAAATAAAACCATGACCGGTGGAGAACAATTTTGGTCACCATCATTATCTCAATGGGCAATGTGCTATTTGTTGCATAAACTGAAGATCTATTTTCAATTTGCTAAATAATGTGCGAGTTCGTTGTCATTACTCTTGTTCTCGCCTTAAGGACATCGGTTAATTTTGAAAAGACTTAGAATAACATGGCGGGTGTGTTAAACGAAGCAGAAGACACTTACTCTTCCCAGGGACCAGCTTCCATTACTATTACAACTCACGATTTACTATCGAAGAGCAGTAGTCTAATCTTGGGGATATTTGACAAGCGTCATCGTGGCCAAATTTCAGAGTTTGCATTTTAAGTGTCTATCATGAACGAGCGCTTTTGTTTCAAATTCAATACTCATATTTTCATATTTATATTATGTTCAGACATAACATTTTCATATTAACTAATTACCTTTTTTTTGTATTTAATGTAATTTAAGCATTGAACTGCTTTCAGTTGGCATTCATAGGCAATGTGAATGCCAACTGGACAAATGCAAATTTGATGAAGCTCGCTAGCGCTTCATGTTGTATTTGGCTTTGTCCAGTTGGAATTTATACTGCCCATGAATGCCAACTGAAAGCGGTTCAATACTTATATTTACCATTTTCGGAATATGTTCATCTCATAGAAAATTCAATTACACTTATTATTATTTAGCATTTAGTTCAAATAATGTATATATCGTGTATGCTTTTTCAATGAATAGAACAGCCATCGCCCAGGGAGGGTCAGTGGTATCCAACGTAACAATTCTGACGTCATAATAATGATGACGACGTCAACGATCGGTCCATGGCATTCATAGCCTATAAGAATACCAACTGTATTTGGAAGGGTTATATAGTTGCAATGTCATACGATTGTAAATAAATATAGTTAAATGATTACAAAATGTACAGTTTGCTGTTAGATACTGTCTAATAAAGCAGACAATTAAAATTAAAAAAATATTAAGAAAAAATAGATAAATTGTTATCAATAATGCTTTTGCATGGTGCTTTTCCATTGTGTCCGATTTTATTGTATCCAATTTCATTTCAATTAAACATTTTTTGCTAAAACGAAAACTCCTTAAAAATGTAAATACAGACATTTAGATTGCGTATGTATTAATACCGGTATTAATACATTATAACCAGCGTGGGACTGGTTTGTTTTGTGTTTTTACAAATGACATAAAATCAATAGCTGACACGTTGTTTAAAAATATATCAATATTTTAGAGTATTCAGTCACGGTCGTATAAACACAATAAATGAAACATGAATACACTCTCATTTAAAAATCAAACGCATTGTCCTGAAATATGGACACAGTTTTATCAAACAAAGTAAAATCTGCTATCAAGTGTATGATATGACCGTGAAAAGTAATCCCAAACTCTCTATGTAACGACGTGTCGACTTAAATATATTAGTTTTTGATGGAAACAACAAGTTGTCGCTTTTATATTAAAATTATATAACATTTATGTTGTGCTACTCCCATGTTTAATTATTATATTTTACAATAACACTCGATTTCAATTACCTCACCATTTTCCTGCTCTGTAATTTCTTATGGATTATGTTTCAGAATGGGCGTAACCTGGAACACTACACTTGCATTATATCATAAATAGTTCTGCCATGGTTTATTTGCGAGTCGACCCTTTGCGCCGGCACACAATATTTTTGGCAATACTTCGCCAATACTAAGATATCATAAGGTGTAGATATGATCGATAACAATATCTTTCAAGTTCAGAGCACCTCGGTTCCTTCCGATTATGTTTTGTCCGGATAATTCTTCTTGGTTTCGTTTTGTCTGGAAATATGTTTCCTTTAATTGTTTTGTAGGAAATCCATTTCTCTTTGGTGTCGTTTTGAAGGGAAAAGTATTTTTGTTCCCTTTTTTGTGAATGTAGGGACATCATTTCTTTGGTTTTGTTTTGATGTAAATCATACTTCTCTGATTTCCTTTGTTCGTTTTGATGTAAATCTTACTTTTATGATTTCCTTGGTTTTGTTTTGATGTAAATCATACTTCTATGATATCATTGGTTTCGTTTTGATGTAAATTATACCTTTCTGATTTCTTTGGTATTGTTTTGATGTAAATCATACTTCTATAATTTCCTTGGTTTCGTTTTGATGTAAATCATAATTCTATGATTTCCTTGGTTTCGTTTTAATGTAAATCATACTTCTATGATTTCCGTGATTTTGTTTTGATGTAAATCATACTTTTCTGATACCCTTGGTTGTTATTGAAGTTAATCATACTTCTATAATTTCATTGGTTTCGTTTTGATGTAAAACATACTTCTATAATTTCATTGGTTTCGTTTTGATGTAAATCATACTTCTATAATTTCTTTGGTTTTGTTTTGATGTAAATCATACTTCTCTGATTTCCTTTGTTCGTTTTGATGTAAATCTTACTTTTATGATTTCCTTGGTTTTGT